ATTTTGAGTAGTCTGTCAGTGAGATTGGCTAATACATTAAATAGAGTCTTTAGAAGTTAAGCTAAGAAGTAGCTGGCCCTCACTAGATCCTGGGTTAAGTGCTTTGGTAGATGCCAAGGTGAATCATGGTCCAGCAGGAGCTCTCCTACTAACGGGGATTTGTACAGACAAACAGCTGAGTCAGTGCAGGGAACCACAATGGCTCACATGACCGCCATGTGTAGTAAGTTCAGAGGGGGGAAGACCCACACCTTACTTGATACCTGAGGTCAAGTTTTAGGGAGAAACGTGAACAAAACTTGGAAAGATTAGAGATGCAGGAGGTATGGCCTGGGAACTGTTAGTGCAAAAGCCTTAGTGTGTGCAGAACTTCTGGAAATTTTGTTTGGTATATGGACAGGCAGATCTTTGCCTGTGTAAGGAGTTTGTACTGGATTCTTTGTGTCTGTGGTAGGTGTCTATGCACATGTGTGTGGCGGGGACTGGAGAAGAACCTCACGTGTCGTTTCTCAAGTGCCATCCACTTTGGAGACTGAGCCAGGATCTCTCACTGATCTGGAGCTTACCAAATAGGCTAAGGTAGTTGGCCAGCGAGCCCTAGGAATTTGCCTGTCTCTTTCTCTCCAACATTAGGTTTACAAGCACGTGGCATCCACCTTGCTTTTTCACATGGGCTCTGGAGCTTAGGTGTTCATGACAGCTCTCTCCCTCGGCCTTAGACCAGAGCTCAACAACCTGAGCAGATGGGTGTTTTAGGGAGAGCTAGTTGGAGGATGGATGAGAGGGAGGACAGGATGCTCTGTGTCTCTTAGTACCATTTAGTCAGGAAGACTGGTGAGAAGAAAATAAAGAAATGTATTGGAGTAGAATTAATACAGTTGGTTGTAGAAAGAGACAAGGGGCAGAAATGAATGGGTAGAGAGACTGAGGAATCACTTGGGAGCACAGAGGCAAAGCGTGTTTGGAAGGAGAAGTTCCAGTTTGGACAGATGCGAGAGCTGTTCACTTTGTGTTTGGATAGAAGCTCAGAGTTGGGCTATGGGATGAAATGGTTGTGAGGCAGAGTCCACAGGATCACTTGAAACCGAGGAGAAAAAGTAAGAGAATTTGGTAAGACTTCGTAGGGGGATGGGAGTGTGCTGTCTGTGGAGAGACAGTAAGAGGCACTGCAAAAGGGAGCTGGTGCTTGGAACCTGATCGACCAGTTTGACTCCTGGTTTTGCCATTTACCTCTTACGTGTGACTTTTTTTTTCACAGGTTGTTTAACCCTGCCAAGCCTCAGTTTTCTCACCTGTAAGATGGGGTAGAAAACAACATTTTGTTCCAGGGGATTGTGAATGCTGAATCAGATGCTATTTAAGGCATGCTAGGCCTATAAAGGCCTCGTAAAAACTTGTTATTCAGAATGTTACCACTAGTAATGGAAAACTTTGGACATAAACTTGGAGGCACTGACCTTTTCAGGAAGTGAGGAAGAGGAGTGAGGGACTGCCAGAGGAAGCAGTGGAGGAGATTACAGGAACGCGGTGTTACAGCAGTGGGGACCAGGTAGCGCAGTCGTCTTCTGCCCTAAGAAGCCGATGTGGCCAAGGTCAGAGGAGATACCTTTAACTTGGTTTTTCTTTTCTTTTTTTTAAAATTGTTTTTAATGATCTACATGTTTTTCTCCTCTCTCTCTTCTTCCCTCCTCCCTTCTACTCTCTCCCATGATCACCATGCTCCCAATTTACTCAGGAGATCTTGTTTTTATTTTTTTCTACTTCCCATGTAGATTAGATCCATGTATGTCTCTCTCTCTCTTTTTTTTTCTTGGCAATGGAACCTGGACAACATTCATCAAACACAGCAGGGGAAGTTCTCACCCTGCACTACAAAAAGGACAGCCAGATATATCAACTGCCACAGAAATTAAGTAAGACGGAATATTTCAAACTGTTCAAACCATCCTCTCAAAGAGACCTCCTCCACTGCCAGAGATCCTGAACAGCCGCCTGGCCAGTCATCCGGAAGCAACTCTTCACATAATTAATGAACTTGGCTTCCACTTTGGGAAGAGAGCCACCTTCCTCTATACTTGCCTGCATTCCTGCCCCAATGTCCTCCACAGAACTAGGTCCCCTTGGTGTTCCAGGGCTTTTTTTTTTCCCTGTTTTTTGAAGGACTCTTGACCCTTCGACCCTGGCATCGATGGTTTTAAGTCTTCTCCACCCTGGTTTAATTTCCGTGTACCTCTGGCTGGGGTATCTCGCACAGATTTCCTAACTGGAACCTTTTCTTCAGCTTCCTCATCATCAAAATTACCATCATCTTCATCATCCTCATCATCCTCATCATCTTCATCATTATCCTCATCAAGTTCCACCTTTCTCTGTGGAACCTTGTTGCCACCCCCAGGAGCAGATCGCCTTCCAGACACTCTTTTAGGGTCCTCTTTGTTGTCTTGATTTTCTGGGATTGTGAATTGTAGGCTGGTTTTTCTTTGCTTTATGTCTAAAAGTCTCTCATGAGTGAATACATATTATATTTGTCTTTCTTGATCTGGGTTACCTTACTCAGTATGATGTTTTCTAGATCCATTCATTTGCTTGCAAATTTCAAGATGTCATTTTTTTCCTGCTGTGTAGTACTCCATTGTGTAAATGTACCACATTTTCTTTGTTCATTTTTTGGTTGAGGGACATTTAGGTTGTTTCCAGGTTCAGGCTATGACAAATAATTCTGCTATGAACATAGTTGAGTACATGTCCTTGTGGTATAATTGAGCATCCTTTGGGTATACACCCCAAAGTGAGATATCTTTAACTTTGTAATGGGAGTATATCATCTGGCTGGGCTGATAGCAGCGTACCACAAGCTGGATGACTTTAATGGAAATTGACTATCCTGAAGTTCTGGGAGCTAGAAGTTCAGGTTTAAGATGACCCTAACTTTGAAGGGGACAGCACCTGTCCCATGCCATTCTCTTCTTGTGAGGGTCTGCTGCTCGTCTCCGGCAACCTTTGGCTTCTAGCGGCATCATGTTGGTATGTGACGCCAGCCATTTGGCGTTTCCCCCATGCACATGTTGGCATTAATTCTCCATTTTACAAGATCACCAGTCCTATTCCACTATGACTTTATCTTCAGTAATTGTAATAGAAACTGGTCTATTTCTAAATGAGGTCACATGCCAAGGGACACAGGTCAACACTGAGTATCTTCCTCAATTGCTTTCCACCTTCTGCTTTTGCGACAGAGTTTCTCATTAATCCTGGCACTCATCCGCTGAGTTAGGCTTCCTTGCCAGTGTGATCCTCCTGTCTCTGTCCTCTCCCTCACCCCTGTTACTCCAGCGCTGGGGTCACAGACACATGTTGCCCACATGTTTTTATGTGGGTGCTGGCTGTCCTCACGCCTGCATAGCCAGTGCTTTACCAGATGGGCCATCTTCTCAGAACCTCCTTTTTTTTTTTTTGAAAAACATTTTGCCTGAATTTTTTGTAAATTGGTATATTTGCCCAATTCACTTGTGAAAAAGCATCATTAAAGAATTGTCACCAAGAAAAGGGAATCTATACAAGCTGCCATGGTTATATCATAGCATAGAGATATAATAAGAAGCGGAGGAAATCTTCCTTAGGATGTAATCAGAACCTATGTACTTGTACAGTCTCAAAATTTCTTTTCAAATATTTTTTTCCAGAGAAGATGCGTAGTTTAAAATGAAGAATATTTCCTTTGAGAAAACGCTTTAAAGATAGTAATAATCTTAATTAAACAGTCTTTCACTTTCAGAAGGGACCAAAATTATAAGTGCACATGCAGCTTTCAAGCATATGTTCTTTTTAATGGTATTAATACATCTCTAGAGATAGAAGGAACGCTTCTTCCTAATTGGCTAGTATTTTATTAAACTCAGCGAAATCTCATGCTAGTTTGAATACCATTTTCAAGAATTAAATAACACCCAGAGTCTCAAGTAAAGAGGATTTTCTTCCTCTCTCTCAGAAGTTATTGGTGCTGGTCAAAAACCAGATTTAGAATGAGAGGAGCCATGAATCTGTTAAATGAAGACAGCCCAAATTCCCTCAAGATTTGCTTAGCATGAATATATTATTGCCGATCCTACTTATGCCAAGACAGCTATTTTAAAATAAAAGTTAGAATAGTTTTAATTACATAAAGTTAATTCTCCCCAGTTGATCCATCTTTGAAATCAAGTCAAATCCACAAGCTAGATAATTGACAAATTTAGCTTTAATCACTCAGGGTCATGGTGTGGGAGCAGCATGAGAGCTGGGCTGGGAACTGGAAAGACTGAAGTTCAGATTCTGCTGCTGCCATTAAAGGGTAAAGGAGAATAGATAGAGGCTAAAGCAATTTTAAGGACCATCCCAAACACCTCTGTGGGAAAACATGGGGAAACAGTTGGTTTCCTAGCAAACTGTAACCCTCTCAGCAGGATGAGCAGAAGTGGAAGCTGTGAATGGACCAGTTGCACCGTGGGGTGTTAAAATGTGGTCACAAAGCTGTGATTAAAGAGACAACAGGGCCAGGCAGATTTGTGTTTACGAATGGCAATTCCAGTGTTCATAAGATATCGGCCTAATAATTAACATTGCCTTGAAGACTCTGGACACCGAGACTGGCCTCAGAAGTAGTAGGCTTTTTTTTCTTTTTAATTGCAAACATATTTCTTTTACTGACTCCGGTAAAATTAAGCATCAAGTAAACAAAAGTAGAAAAGAACCTACACTTTTAACTTGTCTCACTAGTGCCTAAATGTAGTTTAAAGGCTGCTTAAATTTTGTATGTAGTTGGATTTTTTGGAGGCTGAAGGTATCCATCTGCAGACATTGAGGCCCAAGTTGAATTTGGATTGAAATGGATTCTGAATACTTCTGCCTGTGTTGAAGGGAGAAACTTTATAAGGAGTAAGCAAGTTGAATAGAGAAAATAGTGATCAATAATAGGCATTTTAGTGGTCTTTTTAATGTTTTCTGCTGAGGAACATTTCAAGATTTATTGAAGCCCCCAACCCATTTTCCCTGTTACACTCACACACGCACGCTCACACTTTTTATTTGCCATAATGAACCGTCCAGCCCCTGTGGAGATCTCTTACAAGAACATGCATTTTCTGATAACTCACAACCCCACCAACGCTACTCTCAACAAGTTCACAGAGGAACTTAAGAAGTATGGAGTGACAACTTTGGTTCGAGTTTGTGATGCTACATATGACAAAGCTCCAGTTGAAAAAGAAGGAATCCACGTTCTAGATTGGCCATTTGATGATGTAGCTCCACCCTCTAATCAAATAGTAGATGATTGGCTAAATCTGTTAAAAACCAAATTTCGTGAAGAGCCAGGTTGCTGTGTTGCAGTGCATTGTGTGGCAGGATTGGGAAGGGCTCCTGTGCTAGTGGCACTTGCATTGACTGAATGTGGAATGAAGTATGAAGATGCTGTTCAGTTTATGAGACAAAAAAGAAGGGGAGCATTCAATTCCAAACAGCTGCTTTACTTGGAGAAATATCGACCTAAGATGCGATTACGCTTCAGAGATACCAATGGGCATTGCTGTGTTCAGTAGAAGTAGAGGAAGGCTTACTGGATCGTGGCATTAGAGGGAACTCTTGGTACCTGGAAATGTGAATCTGGAATCTTACCTGTGTCATCAAAGTAGTGATGAATTCAGTACTCCTCGACTCCTAATGATTGAGAAGAAAGCAAACGATAAATCCCTCTATAACACGAATAAAATGTTTAAGAAAAGAAAAAAAAAAAGATATCGGCCTAGTTGTAGGCAGTAGACGTGAACATGGTGCAAACTCTCCAAACACAGTGCTAACATGATTCTAGCAGTGTATTGTGGGAGGAGGCTAACAAGGGCAGTCCTTCTGTGGATGTTCATATAGGCTAATCGGAGGGAATCTATCATTAATCTACACACGGAAGGAGAAAGCATGTCAATCAAAAAGACTTTCATTAAACTTAGCAACTATTCCTAATGAAACAAGACACAGTGAACAGCGCATGTCATTTCAAATGGTAATGAAGTGAACCTGTTTCAGCTTAAACCAAGACTAGACAGGAATGCTGACTCTTGCCGTTGCTATTTATATTGTCTTGCAGCTAAAAGAAATAAACTGATTGAAAATTCTGAAAAAGAGAAGAAAAATAATCATTTCTAACCATTTAGTCACACACACACACACACACACACACACACACACACACACACACACGGTACAGAGACAACCCAGGAAGCTATGGTCAACACCTCCTAGCTGGGTATGGTGGTGGATACCTGTAATCAGTCCCCACAATGGGAAGATTGTCAGGATAATCATAAATTCAAGGTTGGAGGGAGGGAGGAAACAAAGGAGTGAGGGAGAGAGTGTCTGAAACTTGAAAACTGTAAGAGAATTTAGTTAGGTGTCTAGATGAAGGATAAATGGTTGAAAATTAGCAATTTAAAAATCTATTAGAAAAGCAAATGGCTGCAAATGGAGATATTAATGAGTATTCATTTAGTAGCGGCAAACAAAGTGAGAAGAATTGTGACAATAGAGGCAAAGACTTACACAAAGTCAATAATTACAAATAATGCATTGAAAGTTCATGTACTTTTCAAAACAAAGTCATTCTTCTGAAAACTATTTTATTTTATGTGCATGAGTGTTTTGCTTACATGCATGTCTCTGCATGCTTGGAGTCCCAGGAAAACTGCAGTATTCATGTTGTGAGCTGCCACGTGGGTTCTGGGAATCTGATCCGGCTTCTTTGCAAGCACACTCAGGCACTGAGCACTTAAGCACCAAGCCGTCTCTCCAGCCCTACATGTCTTTTAAAAGGACATAAAAACAATACATGAACAAATTGCAATGCAGTATCTTGGGGTTATTTTATAACTTGGATGTGAGATATTTCTTTACCCATGTGTTTGAGAATTTGGTCCCCACTGGTGCTGCTTTGGGAGGTTATGGAACCTTTAGGGAGTGGGGCCTACTGGAGGAAGTAGGTCTCAGGTTTCAGGACAGTGGGCATCATAGGCTATAGCTAGCCTCATTCCAACCCAACTTTCTGTCTTCTGGTCCACACCGTGGAACAAGTCCCAGCTACATACACGGCTACCATGAACTCTGCCATGGCTTCCCTTTCACCGAGGGACTGGACCCTCTAACACCATGTCTCAAATTCCACCTTTTTTTTCCTTAGGTTGACTCTGTTAGGGATTTGGTTACAGCAACGGAAAAGTAGTTTATACGGATAGGAGTTCAATATCAAAAATGACAGTTATTTGAAATTAATATATAAATTTCATACAGCTCTTACTAGAGTCTCACTGGCTTTGGGATTTGATAAAATGAACTTAATAGTCACCCAAATGATAGTCTGGAAAAATATATAGAAATGTTACAAAATATCAGAATTTCTCTAGCTAAGTATCAGATTGGAGATTAGAAAATTGGTAGTTTAGTTCAGTGGGAAAAGGACACATTCAAAAACAAATTAAACATAGATACAAAACTACATATAAACTCCAAAATAATCTGGGAGCCCATGTCCCCAGATTTTACAGGTGCGTGATGACATGGAAAGATTATTTTAACCCAGCAATCCCCTCTCGTGGACTTTCTGGTATGCAAATGAACCATTCTTGTTCAGAGATTCTAAAAGATGTTCCGTGCAAAAGACAAGGTGCCCCTCTGGAACTGTACACGATTCAGTTGGTTTCCTGTGTGTGTTTGTGTATATTTGGTGGTGTATGCATGTGTGTTTGGAGGTCAGAGGACAACTTTAGATGTCATCCTTCAGGTGCCGTCCACCTTTGGTGTGAGACAGCTCCCCTCATCGGCATGGAACGTTAGCTAAGTAGCCAGCTGGCCAGTGAGCTTTCAGAGCTCTGTCTGTCTGTCTGTCTCATCTGTCTCCTGTCTTGCCACTGCTGGGGTTCCAGGTGCCTGCCACTGTGCCTGACTTTTTATGAAGGTTCTCGGGGATTGAACTTAGGTCCTCATGAGTGTGAGACAAGCCCTCTGTGGACCAGCCTCCCCCTCCCCCAGTGAGACATTTACAAGACAAACAATGCAAAACCTTCCTCAGTGTGCATATGAGTGCGTGAGATAGGATGCTAAGTGTGCAGAAACATCTCCTACGACACATGTCAGCGGGGGACGTAGAGTTCTGTGATACTGGGAGGAAAGGGCTGATTAGTAAACCCGATATAACTTCTTGAACACATTCTATACAATGTGTTTAAATGATTTTATTATTTTCCAGTTAAAAATTTTATATTACTAGCCGGGCGGTGGTGGCGCACTCCTGTAATCCCAGCACTTGGGAGGCAGAGACAGGCGGATCTCTGTGAGTTCGAGGCCAGCCTGGTCTACCAAGGGAGTTCCAGGACAGGCTCCAAAGCTACAGAGAAACCCTGTCTCGAAAAACAAAACAAAAAAAAATTTATATTACTAAAGTGTATTTTTGCCAGATATTTTTTTCTGTGAATATTTTCGACAGATTCTATGAGTAGTAACTTTTGAATTTTTTGCCTGACCTTTGCTACTGGGAGTTTCACTTTGACTGTTATTTTCAGCCCTGGACTCTCCAGGGTCAGATCATTAGACCAGGGTTTTGTGAAGAAGATTCTAGTCTTTAGCACTGAAATTTTAAAGTTCCAATTTTGCTATTTTCAATATTGCCTAAAAGACAGGATTTTACAGGTCATTTTTGGGCAATTAGCTCTTCAAGTAACAATACCAATAATGAGTAATTACCTAGCACTTAGCTTGTACCAGGCACAAAGAAAAGTGTTTTGACCATAAATTTTGACCTCAAATATATTTTTGTTCCCTTTGCGTGCAGTCCTGACATTTTCAGTTTAATAATTTGCTTTGTCCTTTGTGTCCCCAAGATATAATGACTAACAGATCCAACTCATAGTGAATATTAGCTACAGACATCACACTGTAAAATAAAGGTGGATGCTTTACGGGCATTTAAGACCCCCGAATGTGTGCAACTGCTCCTTGGTTCATGCGGTTTACTGTGTTTGGCTGTCCTCCTGTGTACACAGACTCTGTACTCATATGGATTCTCTACGGTATTTGGAGGAGGAGGCTGACCGCACCCCCCCCCCCGGCATAGTTTCCTGAACAGATTTTTCTTTACAGACATTTATTTATTTATTAAGGATTTCTGCCTCCTCCCCGCCACCGCCTCCCATTTCCCTCCCCCTCCCCCAACCAAGTTCCCCTCCCTCGTCAGCCCAAAGAGCAATCAGGGTTCCCTGCCCTGTGGGAAGTCCAAGTACCACCAACCTCCATCCAGGTTTAGTAAGGTGAGCATCCAAACTGCCTAGGCTCCCCCAAGCCAGTACGTGCAGTAGGATCAAAAACCCATTGCCATTGTTCTTGAGATCTCAGTAGTCCTCATTGTCTGCTATGTTCAGCAAGTCCGGTTTTATCCCATGCTTTTTCAGACCCAGGCCAGCTGGCCTTGGTGAGTTCCCGATAGAACATCCCCATTGTCTCAGTGTATGGGTGTACCCCTCATGGTCCTGAGTTCCTTGCTCGTGCTCCCCGCAACTGACAAAGGTCTGATCTCCAAAATATATAAAGAACTCATGAAACTAGACCGTAAAAGGCTAATCAACCCAATTATAAAATGGGGCACTGAGCTGAACAGAGAATTCTCAACAGAAGAAGTTCAAATGGCCAAAAGACACTTAAGGTCATGCTCAACTTCCTTAGCGATCAGGGAAATGCAAATCAAGACAACTTTAAGATACCATCTTACACCTGTCAGAATGGCTAAAATCAAAAACACCAATGATAGCCTTTGCTGGAGAGGTTGTGGAGAAAGGGGTACATTCATCCATTGCTGGTGGGAATGCAAACTTGTGCAACCACTCTGGAAAGCAGTGTGGCGGTTTCTCAGGAAATTCGGGATCAACCTACCCCTGGACCCAGCAATACCACTCTTGGGAATATACCCAAGAGAGGCCCTATCATACAACAAAAGTATATGCTCAACTATGTTCATAGCAGCATTGTTTGTAATAGTCAGAACCTGGAAACAACCTAGATGCCCTTCAATGGAAGAATGGATGAAGAAAGTATAGAATATATACATATTAGAGTATTACTCAGCAGTAAGAAACAAGGACTTCTTGAATTTTGCATGCAAATGGATGGAAATAGAAAACACTATCCTGAGTGAGTTAAGCCAGACCCAAAAAGAGGAACATGGGATGTACTCACTCATATTTGGTTTCTAGCCATAAATAAAGGACATTGAGCTTATAATTCACGTTCCTAGAGAAGCTAAATAAGAAGGTGAATCCAAAGACAAACATATAGGCATCCTCCTGAATATTAACCTTCATCAGGCGATGAAATGAGACAGAGACAGAGACCCACATTGGAGCACCGGACAGAAATCTCAAGGTCCAAATCAGGAGCAGAAGGAGAGGGAGCACTGAACAGATTTTTCTGTAGTGCTTTTGAGTGGAAAACTGGCCGCTCTCGTATTAAAGAGCACCGGCCACTCGGCCTGGACAGTTGTCACAAAGGAATGTGGGCCATGTGTTGACATGTTTGCAGAGTTTTTCAATGTATTTTTTTTATATATGAAATGAGATGTTTAACACCGGTGAACAATTAGAATTTGATTCAATACGGCAGAAACCACTGTAGGATGCATTTAGCTCTTAGGCTCTAGCTGCTGCACAGACCATGTCTACTGTCATATACCCAGTGCTAGACGTAGGACTGGGCGGGGAG